CTCCACGTCATCATCTCTGCATCCATCTCTGGTGTTGCTGCTTCTCTGGATAGGATCCCACACTTGGCTCTTCTTCCTTAATGGTCCTAGGGTCCTCCACTCCTGGAATGCAAGATCAACTACCCCCTTCCTTTTGTTATAAAATGTCTACCTTTACATTTGCAACATTCACAATCAATCCTGCTAACAATTATTCATTATTGAACCACAAAAGTCCTATCCCTATCTCCTTTCTCCAGCCCCATCTAGACAGGATGGAGACCACTCAGACGAGATTCTACCTTCCCCTGAACTAAGCTCCCTCTTGAAAACCTGTAACCCAGTAATTTCATGCCTTTGTAGCCAGCCCCCTGTTTTGGGTAACCAATGTCTAAGTTGCTGATCCCTGTCAAGCCTGTGTACAGAGGGGGCGGGAATGATCTATTCTATAAAGATTGTTCCTTCTTTTAAGCTACTACATCTATAAGTATAGATCAAGTTCATCAAATTGTAGCACATTACACTCTTTTTTCCTCTTCTTTCTTCCTCTAGTTGAGTTCTGATCATCCAGTCATTGAAGCCAGGTCAAGTGGGTACTTTCTGCAAGTGTGGGCATTCTTGTGCATCTCCCCTCACTTCACATAAGCTGGACACTACAGTGAAGTGTTTTGGAATATCCATTCTTAGCTTGTCAGGATCCACACAGTCGAAAGCTTGTGGCACAGTCAATAAAGCACAAATAAACATCTTTCTGGTATTCTCTGCTTTCAGCCAAATCCATCTGATGTCAGCAATGATATCTCTAGTCCCACATCCTCTTTTGAGAACTGGATAAAGGGATGGTTCACTTAGGCCCCTTGCCATAGGTTCTCTGTGTATTTGGCCAAAACTGAGTCATTTTTGTCTCAGGACTGCTGAGAATACGGGAGGTTGACGCCTAGCCTTCCCAAAGGAGCTGCTGACCTCCACCGCAGAGGAGGAAGAGAAAATTCTTGAATTCTCTGGAGTATTTATTAGAATTTAAAATACCAAGTGGAAAGACTGTTCAAATATTATTTTGTCATGAAGTTCGGGGATAGCACATTCTCCCTTTTTCCTTTTTCCTGCCCTATCGAATTCCTCTCTCCCCACACACAATAATGCCCTATGTCCAGCTTCTCTTCCTTGTAGGACCACCTCTTCACCTGCTCTACTCATATAAACAGACAAAGACCCCTTGGCAAGGATCCAATTTCCAATTCCCATTCAGAGGCCCAGATCACAGAGGTCTGTAAAAACATGAACATCTAGTCTTCTCTTGACATTGGTGGTAAGCGGCACCGTCCTTATTTCAATTCATGACTATTGAAATCACTCTCAAAAGAGTGACCTATATGGACTAGCTGCAGGTCTGCATCATGTTATTGCATCTCTAGAGTTCACAAGAGGTTGGGACAAAGAAAAACTGTTTTCATGAGAAATGTTATCTTTTCATTTAAAAAATAAATGATCTTTGAACAATCCTTTTTTTTTAAAGAGACATATTTTGATGCTGGATGAGTTGACACACAAATGACAGGACACAGAGAAAATTCACTGTCCTTCAGCTCAATCAAGCAGGGCTTTCTACCACTTACATAAAAACAATGACTTGGTTATTTCTTCTGTTTTTTTTCTCTAGAATTTTCTATACAAAGTCAATCCGAATTTTACTAAGAACACTGACAGTTTAATTACTGCCTTAATTCAGGCAAGAAAGAGTTGGGTTCCCTTTTGTGTCAGTTTTACAAAAAGTTTCTCTACCCCTCTGTTCTTTGATATATAAATAGCCCAAGCATTTGGTTAAAAGAAAAAAAAAATTTATTATTTTTAATTTCTCGTTCATAAGTAACAATCCAAGGAAAGTTAAGTGAAATCACTAAATGGACAATGATGTCATGGGTCTTGTTTACTTTGGACATGGCATCAGAAAGGATTAATTACTTGAGAAAGATGTATTTGGCAAAGTAGAGGGTCAGTGCAAAGGAGCCTCTCAGTGAGATGGAAGGACACAATGGTTACAACAAGGAACTCAAGTATGCCAATGACCACGAAGAGGACACGACTTGGCAAAGTTTTACTCTGCTATACATCAGGTCACTGTGAGTTGGATGACTTGACAGAGACTAATGACATGAATACAA